CACACACACACAGACAGGCTCTCACGCACACGCCCACACACACACACAGGCTCTCACGCACACGCCCACACACACACACACAGGCTCTCACGCACACGCCCACACACACACACACAGACAGGCTCTCACGCACACGCCCACACACACACACACAGACAGGCTCTCACGCACACGCCCACACACACACACACACAGACAGGCTCTCACGCACACGCCCACACACACACACACACACAGACAGGCTCTCACGCACACGCCCACACACACACACACAGACAGGCTCTCACGCACACGCCCACACACACACACACACAAGACAGGCTCTCACGCACACGCCCACACACACACACACACACAACAGGCTCTCACGCACACGCCCACACACACACACAGACAGGCCCTCACGCACACGCCCACACACACACACACACACACACACAGACAGGCCCTCACGCACACGCCCACACACACACACAGGCTCTCACGCACACGCCCACACACACACACACAGACAGGCTCTCACGCACACGCCCACACACACACACACACAGACAGGCTCTCACGCACACGCCCACACACACACACACACACAGACAGGCTCTCACGCACACGCCCACACACACACACACACACACAGACAGGCTCTCACGCACACGCCCACACACACACACACAGACAGGCTCTCACGCACACGCCCACACACACACACACACACAGACAGGCCCTCACGCACACGCCCACACACACACACAGACAGGCTCTCACGCACACGCCCACACACACACACACACACAGACAGGCTCTCACGCACACGCTCATGCACACCCACAATGCATCACTCCTCCATCAGTCAAACATCATTCATTCACACAGTGCCCAAACGTGTCTCCTACAACTATCACCCATTGTGTCTCAATATACTTTGATCAGTATCGTTTTCTCAATGTGGTTTTGGCAGCTACGCATTGTGAAAATTAGAAATATCCCTTGCAAGAGTAATGACAGTGTTAATTTAGGGTCAGATAATATTCACTGAGTTGTTACGTGATTGGTTTTAATGCGTCAGCGCAAAACTCACTGCATTTCCTCTTGTATGGAGTGTTGAGTAACTGGCCTCGCTCTTCTGTGAACTGCCTTGACTCTTCCAGCTCATGAATATGCGTTTATGTTCTGTTCGCACAGATTGGCAGAATACAGTGCTCAATAGTTCATTAAAAAGTTAGTTGTTTTAAGTCTATTATTCGTCGCACGTCCACAAGCCCAGTGTTCATTTAGCAGAGAAAACAAAACAGATGCACAATATTAGCTTTCCATTTATCTTGTCAAATCTTACAGAAACAATTAGTCTTAAAACCTCAGAACAACCCGGTGCCATGTTTTACAGAGTTTTTCTTATCTGTAAATCAGCCAGATTCAGCTCCAGGCATCGCAGAAACATTGCCGCTGTCATAAAACATTTCTGCGCCGAGAGGAGGAGCCCACGAGCTTTTGTTTCTTTGAGCGATTAGACGGTTTGATGATAACATGCACAGCTGCACTTATCTCCATTACCATCCACATGCCATTCTCTGGAGGGTGTAGGATCAGAGAGTTTACAGCTTTGATCCATGGGCAAGAGCAGTGCTTCTCAAAGTGGGGGACGTGCACGTTTGGAGTGTGGCAGTAGCAGTAGTTTATTTCAGTAAATACATTTCAACAGAGGAAGCATTGACAATAATTCACTGACTGAAAGGGTTTTGGCTAAAGTGAAACACTCTTTAAAAAAAAAAAACTCTAATCTCCAAGAAAACGGCAAAGAAGAAAAACACAGAATTTATTTTTATGGTATGGTATGGTACTGCTTTAGTATTATATGGTATGGTATGGCATGGATTTGTGTTGGTTTAGTATTGTATGGTGTGGTATGGCATGGTATGGTACGGCATGATATGGTATGGCATGGTATGGTACGGCATGATATGGTACGGCATGGTATGGTACGGCATGATATGGTATGGCATGGTATGGTATGGCATGGTATGGTATAGTATAGTATCAGGTTTGGAATGGTATGGTATGGCATGGATTTGTGTTGGTTTAGTATTGTATGGTATGGTATAGTATGGTATGGTATGGCATGGTTTGGCATGGTATGGTATGGTATGGATTTGTATTGGTTTAGTATTGTATGGTATGGCATGGTTTGGCATGGTATGGTATGGTATGGTATGGCATGGTTTGGCATGGCATGGTATGGTATGGTATGGTATGGTATAGTATGGTTTGGCATGGTATGGTATGGTGTGGTATAGTATGGTATGGTATGGTATGGTATTTGTATTGTAGTTTTCCAATAATCTTTCCACCTCCAAAGTAAAGCCCACCTTGACCATGAAGTTCCCGTCGTCTTCCGGCGTCACCATGACAACAGAGTCGTGTAGTTTTTCATCAAAGTGGACGTGTGAAGAGGCCGCGTGGTGAGACTGCTCAGAGAACCGCACCCCTCCGGTCTTTGCACAACCTGAGAGAAACACAGCAGAAACTTTAGACGATTGTGGACGTTAAAACAACAGCACGAGTCCCGGCTTCGTACAACTTAAAAGAACCACATGAACAATGCACTCTTAGCCGTCGAATGAAGTCAGAACAATCACAATCCAACTTTTGTGGCTAGAATCTTCCATGCTCCTAAGATAAGATAAGATGTGCTTTATTTATCTCAGAGGAGAAATGTAGATTGTGCAAAGGGAGGAAATGTGCAAACATGTTACATGCAGGATATATATGTACAATAAAGTGACAATAATTATGTACAACAAAAGTGACAAGTGTCAATTGGAAACAGTGTCAATAGTAGTGCAGGTTTTCACACAGTGATCATTTAAAGTGACTTATTGTACAGTCTGACAGCGGTGGGGATAAAGGCCCTGCTCCTTCCTACACTGAGGGTGCCTCAGTCTCCCACTGAAGGAGCTCCTCACCTCCTCCTCAGTCCTGTGCAGTGGGAGGTGTTGTTCATGATGGAGGTGGCTTTGGCTAGCACCCTCCTGTCCCTCACCTCCTCCACAGAGTCCAGGGGCCTCCTGTCCCTCACCTCCTCCACAGAGTCCAGGGGCCTCCTGTCCCTCACCTCCTCCATAGAGTCCAGGGGCCTCCTGTCCCTCACCTCCTCCACAGAGTCCAGGGGCCTCCTGTCCCTCACCTCCTCCACAGAGTCCAGGGGCCTCCAGTCCCTCACCTCCTCCACAGAGTCCAGGGGCCTCCTGTCCCTCACCTCCTCCACAGAGTCCAGGGGCCTCCTGTCCCTCACCTCCTCCTGACCAGCTTGTTCAGTCTGTTTCTGTCCCGCTCTGTGCTGCCCGGGGCCCAGCACACGGCAGCGTAGTAAATGGCAGAAGCTACCACAGAGTCATAAAAAGTCTTGAGCAGAGGCCTGCTCACTCCGAAGGACCTCAGCCTCCTCAGAAGGACCTCAGCCTCCTCAGAAGGACCTCAGCCTCCTCAGAAGGAAGAGGCGACTTTGGCCCTTCTTGTGCAGGGCGTTTGTATTATGGACCAGTCCAGTTTATTGTTAATGTGAACACCCAGGTACTTGAAGCTGTCCACCAGCTCAATGTCCTCCCCCTGGATGTTCAGCAGCGTGTGGGAAAGTGGTTTTCTCCTGAAGTCGATGATCATCTCATTGGTCTTACTGGTGTTCAAGCACAAGTGGTTGCGCTCACACCAGTCGACAAAGTCCTTGATAACCGACCGATATTCCAGTTGGTTCCCCTCAGACACACAGCCCACGATGGCGGAGTCGTCGGAGAACTTCTGCAGGTGACAGCTGTGTGTGTCGTGTGTGAAGTCTGAGGTGTAGATGGTGAAGAGAAACGGTGAGAGGACAGTGCCCTGAGGGGCCCCAGTGCTGCAGACGACCACCTCAGACTCACAGCTGCGCAGCCGCACGTACTGTGGTCGGTCTGAGAGGTAGTTGATGGTCCATGCAGTGAGGTAGTTGATGGTCCATGCAGTGAGGTAGTTGATGGTCCATGCAGTGAGGTAGTTGATGGTCCATGCAGTGAGGTAGTTGATGGTCCTGCAGTGAGGTAGTTGATGGTCCATGCAGTGAGGTAGTTGATGGTCCATGCAGTGAGGTAGTTGATGGTCCATGCAGTGAGGCTACTGTCCACTCCTGGTCCTCCATCTTCCCCCGCAGCAGTGCCGGCCTGATGGTATTGAAAGCGCTGGAGAAGTCAAAAAACATGACCCTCACAGCGCTCCCGGCGGGCTCCAGGTGGGAGAGCGTCCGCTGCAGGAAGTAGATGACGGCGTCCTCTACTCCGATGTTGGGCCTGTAGGCGAACTGCAGCAGGTCCAGGGTGGGGCTGACCACGGAGCGGAGATGGGTGAGGATGAGCCGCTCCATGGTCTTCATCAGGTGGGAGGTCAGTGCTCCATGGTCTTCATCAGGTGGGAGGTCAGTGCGACTGGTCTGTAGTGAGCCGGTTCCTTGGCGTGTGCTGTTTTTGGAACCGGGATCACACAGCACTGATGCAATCTACCTGCTGGGGTTTAGCTAGGAACGGTAAAAACATTGGATTACTCTGTTTGTATCTGCTTTCGTTAAAAAACAAAAAAAATTGGTTTGTGCATTTTTTTGTTAATAAAAAAGCCAAGACCAGCTAAATTCCAAACTGGCAACCCAATCCCTCTGCTCGGATGTGCCGCTTGTAAAAACATAAATATTATAAACATCATTGTATTTTTATGTAAGAAAATCTCCAGTTTAAACTTCAATTATGACGTGTGCATGGGACCTGTCACTCAAAAAGACGATGTTACGTTAAAAAGGACTGTCAGTAAAATATTAAAGTTGTGAGAAGAGATGTTTGACTTTCCTCTTTTGAGCAACAGTAATTTTTGTCCCTAAGTTAAAGCTGCATTATCTGACTTTATGTTTGTATTCATTAGTTAAACTCAACCCATGTCCGTGCAGTGCTTTGGGATATTCGTCCTTTTGAAGAAAAAGTAGCTCAGGTTTGTGCGTGACATTTAATTTTAGATCGAGTTTTCGTGAAACAAGGAAGAGAATGTGTTTGGGGTCCAGATTGTGACCAATCACAGCGGACCACCGGCCCCCACTTTCTTGAGAAAAGCCACAGGTCTGTGGTTAGCACAGACGGCTGAGGTAAACAAGCGGCGGAGGCTAACCTGAAACTTCTGTGTCTTTGTTACCGGTTTCTGCTTACTCAGAGAAACAGACAAAAGAAAGTCTCGTTCCTCCGCACTTCCCGGTTCTATCGTTCTATGGTCACGCCACGTTCAAATGTGTGTCCATATTGTGAGCTCCGTAAACATTTCGCACGTTAGCACAGGCTGAGGGGGAGGGGGTAGTGGGGGCCGCTAGCTCCGTGGGGGGAGGGGGAGCAGAGAGAGCGAGGCCAGCGCTCACATTCGAACATTTCACAAAGTCAGTTAGTGCAGCTTTAAAATGACATGAAAGAATGACTTTATTTCAGACTGATCCAATTCTGTGTGAAACGAGTCTCTGCTTTGTGCCGCTCCGCTCTCCACGGGATTTACTCAGTGCGTTTCATCTTACAAGCTAAACGTTATATTTCCCTGCAGGTTTTCCCCTAACCCAGTGTGAGAGAAGAAACTCAATTTACTAAAATATCTTCACATTCTCTATATCACGACTCAGTCAACAAACAATTGCTCTTCTAAGACACAAAGACGATTTGAAGTGATGAAGTTACTGAATCAAAATACACTTTTATAACACATTTCAAAAGTCCTGCACAAGAGCAGACAGTAAAAAAACATTATACAAACAAAACACCCATTCTGCAGTGGTTTTAAACAATAAAACCTGTCAAATCCAGAAGGAGCAGATATGTCCCAAATATCACGCCCTCCACATCCTCATAAATCTCATGCTATATTTCTGCCTTTAATATAATCATAATCTTAGACACTCATGGCCTATTACATGTTGTAGTTAGTATATTTTTTGGCCTTTACAACTAGTGAATTTTGGTAGTCAACATACATACTATAGTCAATGACATCGCTCCTCCTCAAAAAACAAACACATTTTGGCTGCCATCTACTTTGATATTTAACTTGACATGCAATCAGGCAATACGGGAATTCTAATAGAACTTTATTAATTAGTTACAGCCCTGGGAGAACGTGAATGACCTCAAAAGCTGCAAAAGCACGGCCCGCTTGAACAGAAACAACAACAATTTATTCTTGTATTTCCCCAAATCACAACAGCATCAACTCAGAGACTTAACACCATTGAAATCACCACAGATCAGAGAATCAACAGTTAACACACTTAATATACACATATGAATCGGTCCATAGGGAGAGACCAATGTCACACATGTGATAAATGTCATACATGTGATAAATGTCATACATGTGATAAATGTCATACATGTTGATAAATGTCATACATGTTGATAAATGTCACACATGTTGATAAATGTCATACATGTGATAAATGTCACACATGTTGATAAATGTCATACATGTGATAAATGTCACACATGTGATAAATGTCATACAAGTTGATACAAGTCATACATGTCGATATATGTCACACATGTGATAAATATCATACATGTGATAAATGTCACACATGTTGATAAATGTCACACATGTTGATAAATGTCATACATGTGATAAATGTCATACATGTTGATAAATGTCATACATGTTGATAAATGTCACACATGTGATAAATCTCATACGTGTGATAAATGTCACACATGTTGATAAATGTCACACATGTTGATAAATGTCACACATGTTGATAAATGTCATACATGTGATAAATGTCACACATGTTGATAAATGTCATACATGTTGATAAATGTCACACATGTGATAAATGTCATACATGTGATAAATGTCATACATGTTGATAAATGTCATACATGTGATAAATGTCACACATGTTGATAAATGTCATACATGTTGATAAATGTCACACATGTGATAAATGTCATACATGTGATAAATGTCACACATGTTGATAAATGTCATACATGTGATAAATCTCATACATGTGATAAATGTCACACATGTTGATAAATGTCACACATGTTGATAAATGTCATACATGTTGATAAATGTCATACATGTGATAAATGTCATACATGTTGATAAATGTCATACATGTGATAAATGTCACACATGTGATAAATGTCACACATGTGATAAATGTCACACATGTGATAAATGTCATACATGTGATAAATGTCACACATGTGATAAATGTCATACATGTTGATAAATGTCACACATGTTGATAAATGTCACACATGTGATAAATGTCATACAAGTTGATACAAGTCATACATGTTGATAAATGTCACACATGTGATAAATCTCATACATGTGATAAATGTCATACATGTGATAAATGTCACACATGTTGATAAATGTCATACATGTTGATAAATGTCATACATGTTGATAAATGTCACACATGTTGATAAATGTCATACATGTGATAAATGTCAC